GTATCCATGCACACGACGGCAATATCCGTTCTCATGAAACAGATAGCCAACAAACAAAACATACAAGGCTTCGACAGTTAAAAAATGAAGCAAGGTTTTCAGCTTGGGATTTTACACAATATTGACTAGAAATTAGTGTAGGTTGTGTATTAGTGTAGATAAAGCATTAAGCAAATTTATTCTATTCAAATTTTCAATTTTCTGCACGTTATGTCTCACAATTCTTCATATATAACCAAAATAAGAATTATGTACTTGCTACTTTTAAATAAAATATGGAAAATATCGATCCTTTTTGATGTTACATTGAACATTATGAAATTTTAGTGCGCGTTCTAAAAACAATGATGCATTTTTATGAGAATGTATAGCTTTCTATTTTTTCTTGGAATTCTATAGCTCCGTTAATCTTGTGGCTCATCAACTTACTGCGATGCGTGGGCTTCTGGGATGTACTGAATTTGCTTGAACTTTCAACACCTGGCTGAGGCATATATATGGATGTTTCGCCAAAATTTACGAAATTCCGTACGTCCTTGGTTTTAGCTGTCACTGTTACCAGTTCTTGTTCGTTGAGTTTACTTCCGATTGGATAATTTGATCGGCTTTTCTTTTGTCACTGATGAATACCATGCATTCAGTTTTAAAGCCCATTTGCCGTAAGTGCTTAATAAATCGTGCTCCGGCGTTATGAGAAGGGTTTTCATTTTCACAGTTCAGATCGGTGACAATACGAAATGTGTCTGCATTTCTCAAACGCTGTCCGAATGGAGATCGAAGAAATGACAGTGCATTATCAGTGGACGATTTCGGAATGAAATGAACATTCAAATTGAGTGCTTTGACTGCCGCGTATTTCATGTGACGTTTGTTTTCCCAGTCCTCGACAAAAATTCGATCATCAACCCACAGAACCGACCAATTGCATAAGCCCAATTCCACTTGTCGCATGTAAATCGTGTGTTGTGTCCCATGAAAGCCGACTTCGTGTTTGAAGATAATAAATGTGGAATGAGGTAAAATCCCAAGCTGAAAACCTTGCTTCATTTTTTAACTGTCGAAGCCTTGTATGTTTTGTTTGTTGGCTATCTGTTTCATGAGAACGGATATTGCCGTCGTGTGCATGGATACATGACTTCCCCAGGAGGACATTTTCGATACATTTATAAGTGCTTGTTTTATCGAGGGCGTCACGGACTTTTTGCAGTTACGGCGATAATTACTTTAATTCGATAAAGTAGCTTATTATCACGATAAAGATTGTTTATCGGTAAATCGTGATAATAACATTATGGCAATAAAAAGGTTACTTTGCCCGATAAATTATTTATCGCCGTAACTGCAAAAACTGCGTGACGGCTTCTATAAAACAACCATTTATCGCGGTAAGTGTATCCAAAATGACCGCGTGGGAAGTTTTTGCAATGATAAGACAAACAGAAATATTGTTTTGAAATAAAATTTAATAAAAATATAATATCTGTGTCCGAGGGAACCTCTCTAGGGGGTGGACCGTTCCTCATTAGCGTTACCCCCGTTACTCCGGTAAGGATAACGTTGTTACAGGTTTTCGTACGTAGTCTTTTCAACGGCATGGTTTTCAAACTTTGAAGATGTGTTTGTACAGGTTTTTCAGAAATCCTGTCTCTGGAAAAGTAGTGCGAACATACTTCGAAAGTTTGAAAAGCACGCCGCTGAAAACAGCACATTCGAAAACCTATAACAGTTGTGTTTACAGGCTTTTGTGCTACTTTTCTAGCACATGTCCATGTGCCAAGTCAGAATTGCCCACTGTGTCAAGTACAGTCAAACCGTTGCTGTTACAAGTAACGACCATTACCCGTTACTCTAACGGTAACGCCTGATTCGTTACTTTTACTAGTAACGGTAACAATTCAAGCGTTACCGTTACACGGACGGTAACTGTCCACCCTCCCCTCCTCAAACCTTCCCAAGTACCGGACGCCTTTCGAACTGATATTTTGCCCACAAGTAGACCTTGAGGAAGTATGAGGGCACCCTAAAAAGACTTGTACACACAGGTCTTTCTTTCTGAATTATGATCGTTTTTCTGTTTTTTTAGCCTGTGGCAATGTATTTTCAGAAAATCGAATGAACGGCTTTCGATCTGAAATTTTGTCGATCAATGCTTACTGATGCTAATATATTTTATAAAAACGACTATATATTAGAAAAAATCGAATTAAAGAAATTAACGAGCATGTTTTGTGTTAAAAAAAAGAAAGACATACGCTCTCAAAAAAGCTTTCAGTTAAAAATTTTTTGACCATGATTCATTATTCTTCAGTCGAAATAGAAAACAAGAATAAACCGTGGTACGTGTACGAAGAGACACTTAAACTTAATAAGGAGAAATTAATAAAAAATTAATCCCTAAAAAACTATGAGAATAACTGCGCTTTTTACCGTTTTTCTACTTTATTTTAATGTAGTTAACGTGCCTCCTGTCTGTATTTTAATACTTTTTAAAAGTATGACGTTAATTCACCCTCATATCGTGATAGACTTGAGGTTACGTTAAAACACTGTAAAAACATCAGTGCGCCTTATCCCCTTATTCATCTGTATCGTGATAACCAGTAGGATATCGCGAAAGTGATGCATATTGTGGTACATCCCGATAAAAAGGCATTACGATTTATCTAACTACTTCTTATTTCTACAATTTAACACAATACGAATCAGCATCGCGATGTTGACCGATAAATATTTAGTGCGACCGAACGAAACATCGTGATAAATCATAGAGATAGCGCAGCAAAAACTGGCATCGCAATCTATCGGAACCATCTGATAGATGGCGACGTAGAATTTATCACGCTAAACAACGATAGGTAACATTATCAAGGCCTGTATGGCAATGTATCGGCGATTGCTGGGTTTACAAATCCTCATGCGTCAATTTAGAGCTGGACAAATCCACTACTTTTTGAGTCCAAAACAAGTCCTCATACATTCTGTTTTGAATGATTTCTCACCTTTCTTTTTTGCGTTTCAACAGTAATATTACAATAAACAACGAACTATTGTGTTCCATTCCAGTTCTTGTCTAATGGAACGCAATACGCTACATTTTCAAATGGACATAAACAGACTCTGTCTGAGGACCACTCGAGTCTAATTCAAATCCAGTTCAGCTTGAACTTTTATTGGGTCTGAGTCTGGTCAAAGAAGGCCTTGAGTATGGCTCAAGACCGGTTGAGACTCAAACTTGCTCGCCGCTGCTTAATTTTGACAGTTGTTTACTTTCTATTCTTCAATGATTGTAGAAACTGATCCAAATTTCGATACACACAGCTCCACCACTGCCGAAGCGAGTCAAAGTGTAATCGGTGGCGAACATCTTAAAACATACATTGACACGAAGAGTCAGACGTGGATACACGACCCGAAAAATACAGATATCGAAATTTTGATAAAAAACTGTACGATTCGGAAGCTGGTCAATAGCCGTCATAAGTAAGTGTCCATGTGGAAAGGAGACTAGGGGTTAAGCTAAAAAAGTAGAGTACAATACAGTTTAATACAATCATGAAAAAAGTTTCCTTTTAGGCAACATAGTATTTGAATCTGAAATGTTATGTTTTGATTTTATGATTTTTACCGCAGTCAAGACTCAAACTTTGAACGATCTGAGGTACAAAGACTTTTTTAGTGATCCGATCCAAATTAATAGTCTCTGACAAGGACATAATGGGAGTGTAGATAAAAGATACGAGGGTATAGGCAGAAGAGAAAAGGATTTAGGTATGAATGTATAGAAACAGAGAGATGAGGATAGCGGTAATGGCCACCGTTTTGAAGGATTTAGATAAATGCATTTTTTTGTTTGTGCACTGGTCTGTAGTTTGTATAGAATAGAATCCTCGAGATTGTTCAACACAAAGACAAAACACCTTAATTTACTGTTTTGAATGACAGATTTTTAGTAATCACCACAAAACCTGCACGTTTTATTCAGTAGAGCGTGGTTTTGCAGCATCATAGGGTAGAGTTGTAATCGGCAACTGCAAACGGCCAGTCCGGCAGAGGATTCCTTACTAGTCGTTCTGCGTAAGTTTTTCTCTATTGGCTGATCTGAAATTTTTTTGAGTTTTGTGAAAACTTCCTAGAACCCGTCCGTTTTCGAAGGAAAAGGAAGTTTGAAGTATAAAATTTATATACGAGGATTTTTGTGGTTTGCATAGAGTTTTTGTCAGTAGTTGTAAATACAGATTTCAGTAGCTGCAGGCACACATTTTTAACATTACGAATATAAATTCATTCGCTTTAATGCCGTTTTCGATCTGTATTGTATTTTCTATGACACGTTTTGACGCAACATTGTAGAAACTTGACTAGCATCTCATTTGTAGAGAATTGAAGGGACTATCCAATGATGTGGTTTCAAAAATTGTTCCGATATCTCTTTTAGTATTGTATTAGGCGTTAATAATTTTATTACGATCTTAATAATTTTTATATGTTAAAGGATAGATTGTGCTAATGACGTATTATACACTTCTGAAATAGATTATGATAGGAGATGAATATGCTTTTCTGTTGAATGAAGAGCGTAAAAACTAATTATTAAACTTTTTCCAGTGTTTTATTCGAAAAGAGAATTTGTATGTCGCCATGGAGTTTTGATTTTTTGCTTTTATCTATTTTTCAACAAAAAATAAATTTAAAACACTCATTTCATATGAAAAGACAAAAAAAGCTATTAATTTTAAGTTTCTCTCGCGCGCTACTAGTGTTATTTAACCTCCTTCTATTTATACATGTTCAACGTTGTAGTCCAACAGTTCGATAGAAAGTTTTTACATTTTTGCTTCGTAGAAGCAACACTGACAAGCTTTTTTGCATACGTTTCCAAACCATTGATCATAAAAGCAGGTGTTTTTGGTAATTAAATGCTTTGTAATGGATGTTTGGGACTATTTCTATAATAAAACAGGCTCTACTTGAGAAAAAGCCTAAAACTCGATTTTAAACGCCCTCTTTTTTAAATTTAGTTGTGTTTTGCTTACAACTGGTTCTTTCAATCCTGTCCATCCTTCACATTTTCAAAACCTTCGACGTGTCAAAGAATATCTTGAACATGAGCACCAGACTGCATGGAACGTCCTCGCAGGATATGTCTCCCCAACACAGTATGTCAATTCAATCTGTTTCTTTTAATTCATATAAACATAGTTGTAATTATTTTTCAAAGTGATTCGTATGTGCGTTCGAAATTGGGCGATTCAGCATGGATTCCGGCGAAACATCGCTGCCAACTCTGCGAACAAGCTATCCAATCCGAGGATCCAGAACTATGTTCTTGGGTTACTGTTTCTCGAGGTGAAAGTACATGGCCCGATGGATTTATTGATTTTGGACCTATCACTGAAGATTTTCGTGATTTTCTCAATGGCACACTTGTCGATCAAAAAAATATTCTCAAATATCCGTTGCGCGTGGTGTATGTCTGCGGATTAGATCATTTTAACAAATGTTCGTATGTTGAAAGCATGGCAAAACAAAACCTCATGGCTTGTGCAGTTGTCTACCGTGCCGGTTATGAGGAACAGCAGATTAATCGCTCAGTTAAATCGTCTGGTGTCATCTACATTTCATTGTCAAAGGAACGCAACAAACTCATGGATGTGAGTTCGACACAAATTCGACAATATTTTCAAAATCCAACACCCAACAACTCCAACGTCGAGCGATATATTTATCCCCATGTACGTGAATACATGATCAGGAAGTATAAAAAATAATCTATAACCATCTTTCTTCGTCTTAACTCTTTCAAAGACAGTAACTTTCGTTCATAATATGTAGATGTGCTTATTTTATCCACACTTAAACTTTTATCATTTTTTCGAGAATATAAGAATTTGTATTTTATAACATATTAAACCTATAAATTGTGTCTTATATTCCTGAAATTCAGAACAGATATAGTTAAGAATCGAGAAATTGATCATTCAACAAGATTATGTTTTGTGACAATGGATATGTTCAAGTATATTTAGATGCACAATTATTCATAGTTATTATATATGTGAAAAAGGAAGAGAAAATTTCTATCTAATAGACTATAGATCTATCTAATAGACTAATACAAACGTGCAGTATTTCGGCTCCTTTAAGTTTAAACTAAGCTTTTAACTGTCAAGAAAAAAGCGTAGAGTTCGGTCATGGGATATGTTATCGTAAATATAGCATGAAACAATCAATAGGATTTGACTAATCAATGAGTTCAAGAAATTTTCTTTGTCTTCACCTAACGAGGGAACCTCTTTATGTGTTTAATCGCTTTTCGCTCGGGACCATTGCCATTCGATAGGTCCTACTCAATAGTGAAAAAGTTTAAAAGGGTTTGGGTGCATGGCTCTTCTGGACTGAGACATCGAATTATCAAGTTATGATCGAAATAGACTAAAATATCGAAGGAGGAGGCTGTATAAGGATATGAATCGGCCCACTCTCTTTTTTGACTAAAAATGGATCCATTTGTCTGAAATGCTTTGTCACCGTAATGTTTTGGTAATTTTCACGCCCGTTATAGCCGTTCGTAAATCGACTGCAGCTGCGTGAAAAAGCATTACAGACATTCGGGAGACGTCTTTTTGTGTTCAGAAGTCTATGCTCTATGATGCTATATGGTTTGGAAAATAATCTGATCAAAAACCATGGACTTGGGTTTCCAGCGGTCAGGTTTTCCAGAAACCCTATTATCGACTTTTCTCATGAGACGTTGATATGCACCTCATTCGATAGAAAAATCTTCGGCCTATTCAAAACAGTATTT